ATCAGATCGGGGGACAACAGTCTAAACAGAGAGGCCCAGACTTCCCTCTCTCAAGCCAGTTGGGGTCAACTCTTCCAGGGGAATCTCAAGGCGTTCCCTGGCCAGCCGAGAATCATAGTCCTTCCAGCGTTTCGTGGGTTTTCCTTAGGGTCTCCTTCCAGTTGGATGTGCCCAGAAAACCTCACCAGGGAGGCGACCGGCCCGAGCCACCTCAACTGGCTTCTCTCGATGCAGAGGAGCAGCAGATCTACTCTGAGGCCCGCTCAGATGATCGAGCTTCTCACCCTATATTAAAGGGAGAGCCCAGCCAAGACTCATTTCAGCCGCTCGTATCTGCAATCTCATTCTTTCGGTCACTACCCAAAGCTTGTGACCATAGATAAGGGTGTGAATATAGATTAACCAGTAATTCTATAGCTTTGCCCTCCAGCTCAGCTCTCTCTTCACCACGATAGACCGGTACAACGCCCGCATCAGTGCAGATGCAGCACCAATCCATCCATTGATCTTGCACTCCATCTTTCCCTCACTCGTGAACGACCCCAAAATACTTAAACTCCTCGACTTGGGGTAGGACCTCCTCCCCAACCTGGAGAAGGCATTTGACCCTTTTCCGACTCAAGACCATGGTCTCAGATTTAGGGGTGCTGATTCTCATCCCAGTTGCTCACACTCGGCTGCGAACCGCTCCAGTGAAAGTCGGAGATCACGTTCTGATGAAGCCAACAGGACCACATCATCTGCAAAAACCAGAGACTCAATCCTTAGGCCTAGGATGCGCCTAGAATAAAGGTTATGAACAGAATAGGTGACAAAGGGCAGCCTCGGTGGAGTGCAACTCTCACCGGGAACGAGCCCGACTTACTGTCGCCAATGTGGAACAAGCTCTGACACCGGTCATACAGGGACTTAACAACCTGTTTTAGAGGGACCTGTTACCCCATACTCCCGAAGTACTCCCCAAGGGATGCAGTCGAATGCCTTCTCCAAATCCACAAAACACTTGTAGATTGGTTAGGTGTGAACTCCCAGGCACCCTCCGGGATCCCCCCTAGGGGTAAAGAGCTGGTCCAGTGTTCTACGGCCAGGACAAAAACTGCATTGCTTCTCCTGAATCTGCCAATCCAGTCCACGCCATATTGCAGAGCCACGTCAGCCATCACAACCCTACAGCATCCAGAGCCTTAAGGGACTCCTGGCGGATGTTGTCCACCCCCGGAGCCTCGCCACCGAGGAGCTTTTTGACCACCTCAGTGACCTCAGCACCAGAGATTGGAGAGCCCAACCCAAAGTCTCTGAATTCTGCATCATCAGTTGAAGATGGTGAGATTGATGAGGTCTTCAAGGTATCCCGCCCACCAATCCGCAATGTCCTAAATCGAGATCAGCAGCACATCACTATAAACAGTGCTGGTAGCTCACTACTTTCCCCTCCTGAGGCGCTTGATGGTGGAACAGAATCTCCTCGAAGCCGTACAGAAATTTTGCTCCATAGTCTTGCCAAAGTCCTCCCATGCCTGGGATTTTGCCTCTGCAACCAACTGAGCCACGTTCTGCTTAGATTGCTGGTACCCATCAGCTGCCTCTGGAGCCCCACAGGCCAAAAAGACCAGATAGGACTCTTTCTTCAGTTTGACAGCATCTTTAACTATCTGTGTCCACCAGTGGGTTCTGGGGTTGCCACTAAAACAGGCACTGACGACATTGTGGCCATTACTCTGGTTGATCACCTCAACAATGGAAGCACGGAACATGGCCCACTCAGAGTCAATGGCCCCCTCCTCCCCAGGAACATTTGGAAGTTCTGTCGGAGGTGGGAATTTGAACTCCTTCTGACAGAAGACTCCGCCAGACAGTCCCAGCAGACCCTCACAATACATTTGGGCCTGCCTGGTCTGATTGGCATTCCCCCACCATCAAAGCCAACTCACCACCAGGTGGTGGTCAGTTGATAGCTCAGCCCCACCCCTCTCTTCACCCATGTGTCCAAGACACAGGCAGATATCTTGTCTATTGTTGTTGTTGTTGTTATTATTATTGCTTAGATTTGTCTAGAGCAGAGGTCCTCAGCTAAATGTGTTCAAGCGCCGGAGTTTTTTCCAGCAGACACTGTGAGGGCCAGATGCTCTTCTAAAATAAAGCTCAAGTTTTATATTATCTTAATTTATTAATATTTAAAATGGCTTTGTTTTTCATCTAAACTGTTTGGATTGTAGTTTTATTTGTGTTTAGAGAACGTAAACAAATATTGGTATTTGGGACATGAATTGTACTGCTAAACTTAAAAATCCCACAATTGGGGGGCGTTAGGGAACTGGGTGGAAAGGGTTGGGGGGCTGGATGTGGCCCACGGGCCACCAGTGTCATGTGTCGTGTCTGCGTCTTCCTCATGTGTCTCCTGGTGTTCCCCATTTGCCCTCTAGGTTTCCCTCCTCAGACTTCCCTCTCCCAGGTCCTGTGCTCTCTTGGCCCCCTCTTAGCCACGCCCCTTTAGTTTCTTTCTGTAGTGTTTTCCTTTAGTGTCAGCTTCCCCTTAGAATATTAGTTATGGTTCATACCTTCTGGTCTTTTGTTTTTCTCTTAGGTCATTTTCCTTTGTTACAGCCTTTCATTATTTAGTGTGTTTTTTTCCCAACAGTGTTTTCTTCCTCCTCCCTTAGTTAGTAATTGTGTTCACCTGGTCCCTCTCCCCACACACCTGCAATTCATCTCCCTCTCATCCCCAGTCTATATAAGCCCTGTCTTGTCTCTGTGTGGTTGTCGGTCCATTGTATTGTTGTCAGCGTGTGTTCGTGCTAGGGGTTGTATGAACTAGTCGACTAGTCGACTTCACGGCTCTGTAGTGACTTTTTATGCCTGTCATCGACTAATCGCTGTCACGTGATAATGACAAGATGCAGTCCTCGGAAAAGACAGCAGGTGATGAGCCCCTGCGTCGGGAGGCGGAGGCGACGCGCTGTGCCAGAGCATCGACACCGGCGGTAAAATGGACATTTAACCAAACTGTGACCTTTTCCCTCTTGCAATTTTACCTTCCCCTCACCCCCATCCTAATCTTAACCAGTTTGCGCATGCAAAGCTCTGATCGTTGATGCGCTCCAGACATCTGCGTCCTGAGCACCGCCAAATCAGGTGTCACCACCTCAAAAACAAATTAAACACGCGATCGTTCGTGTCGGCTCATTTCCTTTCATGTTTTCTGTCTGTTATTTGTGCCTGATGCGTTTTGCTGCTGCGGAGCGAGGCACATCACCTGTTTTGTCCTCCGGTGACGCACCCCCAAAATTCCACTATCTCCGCTCCGGCACAAACTCCGCAGCAAAAATGGTCCCGTTGTAGTCGGCCGGCGAGCAGCGGCACTCCGCTGTTTTCTGGTCTGTAGATCTTAGAACTGCAGTTCAAAGGTAACTCATAAGGTGATATGAAGCCAGGTAGTAGTTTTTCTTTAGGACTGAGAGGAGATGCAGGAAGATAATGAACAGGACAGAAAAATAGTCAAATAAAAACAAGTTAGTTTTTATACCTGGTGGTTGCAACAAACAGACACCATTGAAAGTAATCAGAAGTGAGGAACAGAAAATGAAATAATTATTTTAATGTTTAGAGCAGCAGGAACTCTGAGAGGCTGCAGGCGCATCAGTGAGATTGCGGCCGCTGCGCAGGGGGAGGGGGGAGAGGGCTGAAGCAGGATGCAGAAAGTACCGTTGTTAAAAGAGATGTGTTAACTTAGAAAATGTGGACGCAATTTTAATTGTCAAAAACTCCAGCAAACCTACCGACCCCCACCCCCCACCCCCTGCCCCTTCAGGTGTATGACGTCATCAACGACTAGTCGAAGTCGACTCGATTTTCATTACTTGACTGTCGACTTTTAAAAAAATTAAGTCATGCAGCCCTTAGTTCGTGCTCTGTCTGAGCTTTTCGTCTGAAGGTTTTTGGTGCTCTAAGAGAACTTTGGGTGTCCTGTGCTCCAGGACTTTTGGACTTTTGGCTCGCTGTCTTGGATTAATTTTTGTTCTTTCATCCTGTAAATAAAAGGATTTTTACTTTGAATCAACTTCTGCCTCCTGTCGTCTGGGTAATCTGCATTTTGGGTCCTAAACATCTCCTCAACGTGACAGCCAGTTGGGATTCACTGGTTTAGAGGGACAAAAAGTTTTGATCTACATTTTGACATTATACTCAGAAATGTATTATTTATTTTTAATTTTGCACTTTGAAAGAGTTGCATTCAAGCAAAAAAGTCTATCCATTTTCTGAACCCGCTTGTCCACGTGGGGTTGCAGGGGGGGGGGCTATCTCCAGCGGTCAATGGTCAACCAGGCGGGGTACACCCTGGACAGGGTGCCAGTCCATCACAGGGCAACGCAGAGACACACAGGGCAAATAATCACACACTCACACCTAAGGACAATTTAGACAGACCAGTTAACCTAACAGTCATGTTTTTGGACTGTGGGAGGAAGCCGGAGTACCCGGAGAGATCCCATGCATGCACAGGAAGAACTTGCAAAGAAGGATCCCAGGCCGGGAAGCAAACCCAGGACCTTCTTGCTACAAGGCAACAGCTCTAACCACTGCGTCACTGCGCAGCCCAGCAAAAAAAAAAAAAAAAAAAGTCATAATGTTAAATGTTTTGAATCTGTCCGTGCATCAGTAAATCAGAAGTTTAGTTTAGACTCATTTCTGGTGGATTTTTATTTATTCTTATTTGTAACATAAAATCAGATCGAACCTTCTGATAATATGAGTGATTTATGGAATTTTTAATCTCATTATGAATGATACCAGAGGAGACCAATGATTGTTCTGCTTCAGCATTGATCTGATGAGTCATGAACAACTAGTAAATTTGTCTCAAAGCTGCTAACAGGATCTAAATGTTATCAGAATAAGTAATCCAGTCGGGATTATTCATTCTGACTGGATTCTTTATGGGTTGAAAATGATCAGAAACGGCTCATTTCCATGCCTCACACTTTCTTCTTCATGGCTTTTAGGATGCGAGAGCGACTTCTGGGGTCCCCACTGCAGCAACCGCTGTCAGTGTCGCAATGGCGCCAAATGCAATCCAATCACTGGAGCCTGCGTCTGCACTGAGGGCTTCCAAGGGTGGCGCTGTGAGGAACACTGTGACTCAAACCTCTACGGCAAAGACTGCCAGCAGGAGTGTCAGTGTCTCAACGGCGCCACCTGCCACCATCAGACCGGAGAGTGTCTCTGTGCTCCGGGATACACAGGAGTCTAGTAAGTAACAGTAATGAGTGATTTAGAGAACCAGAGATCTGGCTAGCCTTGAGTTTTGCTCAAGCCTGTGAACGTGTGACTTGCAGTATCTTGGGAAGGTCCCACCTTTCTCACCTCTGATTGGCTGGAGAGACTTCTCCCTGTTTCTTCCAGTATTTGTTACTGCAGATAAGCAGCTGATTGAACATCACTTCAGGAAAAAAAAAATTCCTTTAAGGCTCATTTTTGCTCAATGTTAAATAAGTTCTCTGTATTTATTTTTGTTCTTCATCTGAGAGCTTGTGTCCTTGAGGCATAGCCCGGCCTGCCAGACTCATCCTCTGTTTAATTCTGCACAGAGAACACAGGAGGCAAAGTCACAAGGTTCATGACAGGTAGACCCAAAGAGAGAACCAGGTCCAGGGTGTGACCCCTGGCATGAGTTGGGGACGATACCCATTGAGTTAAATGGAATGAATCAAGCAAATTCAAAAAACCTTTAGCAAACATTGTCAGGACAGCAGATATGGATGTTAAAATCACCAAGAAATAGGACATAGTCATGTTTTAGATTCTCTGTGCAGAATTAAACAGAGGAGGAGTCTGGCAGTCCAGGTTACTTAAGGCAGCGGCTCCAACAGAAAGCAGCTCTAAGCCACCAGCAAAAGGAACGTTGTTACAGTTGGTTTGTAAATCCTGAGTTACTCTAAATAAAATTGGCGGACATGAATATTGAAAACAAGTCGACCACAAAACTTTTTGTCAGTGTAAAATAAATAAAAGGTCCGCAAGGTGTTAATTAATTAAACCCGTCAGCATCTGTATTAATAAACTGGATTTTTATATCTGAAAACATTTAGCAGCTAACACCATGCTGCGATACGGTGAAAACAGTCGTTTGTTCAGATTTGTTCTCATGCTGTTAATTTTTTAAATATGATGTGATGTGATGTTCTGTGTGATGAAGGTGAGCATCAAAGTGCCTCACATTTCAGTTTAATGGGCATCTCTGTGTTGGTCTGACTTGAATCAGAGGTAAAACGTTGCTTCTGTTTTTTGCTCTTAATCAAATTTAAAGGGTCTGTTTTTAGCGTGTTTTCAGGCTCCTCTGCTTCGTCTCCTTCAACCATTTAGTAGAATGGTTTTGAACCAGTTTCACCAGTTGTTGTTGTCTCCTGCAGCTGTGAAGAGCCGTGTCCTCCTGGGAAACATGGCTCTCTGTGTGAGCAGCGCTGCCCCTGTCAGAACGGAGGGACCTGCCACCACATCACCGGAGAGTGTTCCTGCCTCCCGGGCTGGATGGTGCGGCCCGACACAACACACACAAACAGGCAATAGGCCGTGTACCTCACCTGTCTCACCTGTGACCCTTCCACCTCTACTCCAGGGTCCAGTATGTGCTCAGCCTTGCCCGTTCGGATGGTTTGGCGTCAACTGCTCCGAGGAATGCACGTGTCGTAATGGAGGCCTGTGTGACCACATCAGCGGACAATGCCAGTGCACGGCCGGTTACATCGGAGAGAGGTAATAAATAAGTCAGAAGATTACCAGATTAACACAAATACTACTAAGTTTAGATTAGCACACAGCCAGCTGAACACAGACTAATGCAGCAGACTGAGATCAGACTAACCCCCGGTTTCACGCTGAAAGCATCAGCGGCGCGGAACGTCACTGCTTCAAATAGAATCCATTATAGTCTATGAACTGCTTCAAACCAGCAGCGACGCAGAAATTTCCAGACGCATCCCAGAAGCGGCACGCCACGCCACGCCACGCCACTAAAGACAGGACCGGATTCTGTTTTTGCCGCAAGCCGCTTCTGGGACACATCAATTTCCGCAGTTAACTTAGGGCTAAACAGGAAATCCCACACTTTTTCAGTGTAAAATCCCCAGTAATTTTCAAAATAAAAGTACTGCAGCGATGCAATTTCATATATATGAAGCTTACGTGTGACCCAACAGCTTATTTACTCACAGTGTTGTTCCAGAAGTGCAGCGGTGTGTGTTTCATGGCTTTAATCCTGGCAGTGGAGAGGAACAACATCATTTATGACGTCAAGCAGCGATATCAAACGTGATTTCTTTCTTTTTGGTTTAATGGTGAATTGCATAAACAAACCGTGTTCTGAAGCCTCGAGGGATCTCGGGATCTTGCGAGTCCAGGAAGGAGCACAGCGAGGAAGCCGTGGCCAGGGGCGTGTCCAAAGCCTAATTTATACTTCCTGTCAACTCCACGAGGGAGACATGCACGCTCGGACGGAGACGTTTTGCCTTCAGACACAGAGGGCAGAGGGTGTAGCGCTGTTCTGTGATGTCCTGTCATGTATCCAGTCCAAGATAGTACATTTACTATTCTGTTTATATTGTAGTTTTTTTGTATTTCAGAGACTTTTTAACTGATAAATTTGTTTCTCATTTTCCTCCACCTCTTCATAAGCTCATCACCTCTAAACCCACGTTTCCCATTATTTCCATCCACGAATTATATGAATAAATATAACTTTAAAAGCCCCTCAGTGGGGAAATTGTGGTATCGTAACAGCACAAGTACAGTAAAATAAAATAGAAGTAGCACACAAAAGATATCACACAAAAAGGATTTAAATAAGAAGCTTAGAATTGGAAAAGTGTTGAAATGTGAGTTTGATAGTTGTTGCATAAACAATTGCTGCATGTTTTTTCACTCCTCCAGTGATGGGTGAATAAAACGTTCAAATTTTTCCGAGAGATATTCTTCTAGCTTCTCCGTGTCTTCCAGAGGTATCTTCAGCTCTTTTTCTGTTTTTGAGGGCGCAATAGCGGCAATGTTGACGACAGCGGTGTCCTGATCAATCACAAGCTTGCATTCTCTGTCTCCTTGGATGGATGTTTAGAAAAGAGAGCTCGACTCTGTCAGTTTTTGCGAGGGCTCTCCAGCCGGCTTGCAAGGAAGGATAATGGCATTGCGTGTCTCCTTCCCGACGCAGATGGAGAAGTATAAATTAGGCTTAACCCTCCCACTGTTCTAATGGGTGTGACCCCGCGAGGAAATTTGACCATTGAGCAGGGTTGATGGTTTATCCCTTTGGTCCATGTGGCAGGGGTGAGGAGCAGTGATGGGAATAACGCTGTTTAAAATAACAGCATTCTTTTTTTGGGGAACGGAATAATCTAATTATTTTTCCCACTGTTGCAACGCCGTTACGTTACTGGGGATGGAAGGTTGTACGTTACTATGTGCTTGTCGAACGTTGAGCAACAGTGTGAGGCTTTCTGACCGCCACACTTCAATGTCTTAAATGTCTTTAGTCCCGCTGTATCACTGGTTGCATCAGTCTCAGACCTCATGGAGCTCAGGTGTTATTAGAACTACCTGTGTGTGTTTACCGCCCAGCGTCAGCTCTTCCGTGGTTGGGTCTGACCCAAGTTAGTAAATGTAAGTCCTCCATCAGGCTTGTGCCTCTTCTAGTGTCATTTTAAAGGATTTTATTTATTTATTTGCTTAACCAGTACTAGATTATCAGCAACAGAAATGCTGCTAAAAACACACAATTACGTGAAGCTGGAAAAATTAAAATACTGTGCAAAAAATTACATTTATTTCTGTAATTTAACCAGACTGGGAGACCATTTAAAGGCTCTGGAACCTTTACAGGTGTTTCTATTTGCAATTTTAAATTTTAGCTGACTGGGGTCTTGTTAAAAATCACACAGTGACCTTTTAATAGTCTAGATTAGTGTAATGTTCCTGTTAGTAGTTCCTCCTGTTAAGTGCTTATTTATTTCAATTATTCAGGTTTATAAAAAACATTTGGACATACATTTTATTATGTTCCAGTCATTAGTCATTTATATTTCACTATTGTAGTAATTTATAGTAAATTAAGTAAGTTCTATTAACCCATTTTCTTGCATTCTTTAATGAAAAAAGTAACTAAGTAGTTATTTTTCTTGGTAATTAGTTACTTTTATAATCTCGTAACTCAGCTAGTAACTGAGTTACTTTTTTGACAAAGTAATTAGTAACTATAACTAACTACTTTTTAAAAGTAACGTTCCCAACACTGGTGAGGAGTGAGCACCACCTCACCCCTGCCACGTGGACCTCAAGGGATAAACCATCAATCCTGCTCAATGGTCAGCTTTCCTCGTGGGGTCACCCATAAAGACAGTGGGAGGGTTAAAACTTTTTTACCTTTTGGTTTAAATGTGGTTCCCCCCTACCATCACCACACACACACACACACACACACACACACACACACACACACACACACACACACACGCACGCACGCACGCACGCACGCACACACACACACACCATTATTCATTCTAGGAGTGGTTTTGCTTGAGACCAGTGTGTAAAGTAAAGCTCTGACCTCCTGATGAGTTTGTTTCTTTCCAAGCAGAGTAGACAAAACCATCTTCCAACTCACTCCCAAATGAACGGAATCGTACTTATACTGACCAGAACGCTTTTAAAGTTCTTTTTCGTTTTACTGCCTCCATCATCAGTTACCCCACCGTCCTCTGGTCACCTGCCCCCCCAACTCCTCTCTCATCGTAATTCTCGATTGAGCCAAATTACCTCCATCCATTCAGGCTACAGACAGGTGAATTAGCCTACATGGAATAATTTCCAGATGGAGTTCCCTTCCTCTCTGTTGGCGTTCTAATGGAATTATCCAAGATAAGAGTCCTGAGGAAGTCTGTGTGATTTAAACGTGACACCAAACAGAAGTCCTTACCGAGCCTGGTAATTGAGTGATTTGTCTATTTCTTGATGGTTTCAACTTGTGGACGTGTGAAGAATGAAGCAGAGTCTAACATCTCTCTACTCTTCTGCCTGCTCTGATCCAAATAACCTCTGTGTGACCTTTGACCCAGAGCCTCTGATTGCGAATGCGGCACAGCTGGTGTCCTCTCCGCTCCTCACCTGTGGAAAAAGAGCCTCAAAGGTGGTTAAGTGAGGAGGCACTCACCTCGGCTCGTGAATCATGAACAACCCCCCCCCCCCCCCCCCAACGGGCGCTTCCAGCCGTCCCAGCAACGGTCCTGGAGGCCTCAAAGTCGGTGATGAGGGAGGGATCTTCGATGAATGACCGAGGAATCCATGAACGTTCCTCCGAGCCATACCCCTCCCAGTCCACCAGGCATTGCACCCCTCGAGAGTCGAGGATCCACCGAACCTGGTAGACCAGACCCCCCTTGTAGAGTCGGGCAGGCGGAGGCGGGGCCGGGGTCGGGCACAGAGAGCTGGTGACCACGGGCTTAACCAAGGATACATGAAACGTGGGATTGATCTTGAGGGACCACGGGAGGTCCAAGTGGACGGTCGCAGGACTGGGAACGGCCGCAACCTTAAAAGGGCCTTGGAACCTAGGAGCAAACTTCCTAGACGTGGCCTTGAGGGGTACATCCTTGGAGGGCAGCCAGACCATCTGTCCAGGAGTGTAGACCGGTGCCAGGCAAATATGCCGGTCCGCCAACCATTGGTTCTTCTCAGCAGTACGCTGAAGAGCGGCCCTAGTGGCGGCCCAGGCATGACGGGCCCGGCGGAGAAACTGTGGCGTGGTGGTGGTTGGATAAGACTGGAGGGGAAACAAAGAGGGTTAGTAACCAATGGAAACCTCAAAGGGGGACTGACCTGTAGCTGAGGACACGAGGCTGTTGTGGTCGTATTCCACCCAGGCAAGGGGGTCGCTCCAGGAGGCGGGATTGGTGGCGCACACACAGCGCAGCATGGCGCCCAGCTCCTGATTCATGCACTCGCACTGTCCATTGGTCTGTGGGTGGAAACCCAAGGTCGGCGACACACGGGCCCCCAGAGCGGTGGCAAATTCCTTCCAGACCCTGGAAACGAACTGGGGGCCGCGATCCGAGAGGATCTCCTTGGGAATCCCATGAAGACGGAACACATACTTTATCATAAAAAACTTTGGGTGGAAAGACACAAGATAGTATATAAAAACTGCTAAAATCTTTCCAAAACTTACGTGTAAAAGCCAAGTGGATTTGCCATTGTGTGATGTCATCGGCAGGCACGGGACCCCCAGCCGATCTGGTACTGACGCCGGTTCATTTTGGTGAGCCGAGCCATAAGAACCGGTTAAAAGAGCCGGAGTTCCCATCATTGACATACATACTCGACAATTAAGGTCCATAGGCTCATGTTGTCCATTTGTGAGGCGGGGAATAGTTCATGCGCAGGTGTTGCGGGTTGGGCGTGATGAGGACCTGACACTATGATGCTAGCTGGTACCCTATGATGTCACAGTGCCGCTGTGAGCCTGTGTGTGTGTATTTGTTAGCGGCTCCGTCCTCTCAGTCTGTCAGGCAACGCCTCTTTGTGACGCAATTTTCAAACAGGAAATGGGAATAGAGTTGGACTCTGCAAGGGGGTCACTCGCTCTTTAAAGTTTAAAAAACTATCTATTGGTACTTTAAAATAATAGTTTAGCAATGTAGAGTGAGGCATTTGTGTTTGTGTTGCCGTTTCTGGTTTGGGTTACCTTTGTTTTGTTTTCTGGACTTTTGTTTTCTCTGGTTCTAGAACCTTCTTTGCGGTCGGTTTCCTGTTCTGTTCTAGTTTATTTGTTTTTTCTTCTCAGTCTCTCACCTGCAGTTCATACTCAGGACGCTTTCTGATTGGCTGAAGTCACCTGGAATCATCAGAATAAAAACCTGTTAAATTCTTTATGAACTGAACCTGAAACTAAATGCCCACCACTTTTTTTATTCTCCAGTAGTGTTGCATTAAAATATTTCATTGTTTTGTGTTCCTCTGTCAGGTGTTTCCATTATTTTCAGCACCACATTAATATCAGTGAGTGCAGTCTAATTAACCCAGACCCTCTCTGAATAATAGATTTTCCGGCTCCTCAAAGTGCTTCTCCTCGATGATCCTGCAGCTGGATTTACTCGTCTCCACAGCAGGTCCAATAAAAACCTTCATAAAGGAGGATTTACTGCGGGACGCACGTTGTTGACTGTAATAACTCCTGATAGTTGTTTCCAATAAACCTCAAACTTAGCATCTGCAGGTCAGCTTGTTCTGCTTTAACTTCCTGAGCCAAGCTAAAGTCTGCAACCGAATTAGAGTGAAAATGAAAAAATAATAATCGGTTATGTTCGTCCATTTGTGTCATTGTTGCTCTAAAACTCAATTTTCTGGCTTTATATGATTTTAAATGATTCATTTGTGTCATCAATGAGGAAATGAGTTCACAGAGCTACAGAGGAGTTCAGGCTTTTTATGTCAAATACTTCCTGGTTTTACAACAAAGACATTATGTTTTGGTGCAGTACAGATTCAGATCAGATTTCAGATTTCAGATTTATTGGCCAAGTAAAATTACATTTACAAGGAATTTGTCTTCGGTAGATGTTCGCTCTCTAAAACATACAACAACCATAATAAATGAGAATAAAAATACCTAAAAACACATAAGAACATGTATACCCACACACATGTTCATTTACGCACACACCTATATACATACCCACACACACACGCACGCACGCACACACACACACACACACACACACACACACACACACACACACACACACACACACACACACACACACACACACACACACACACACACACATATCCATAAGCATACTGATTAAGTATTAAAAACTATAGTAAAAGGATGGTAAAAGAATCTACAGATTCAGGAGAGAAATGGCTGAAGGAAAGTACTTTAAAAAACTTTAAAGTAAATAACTTTTCTTTAAGTTCTTAGATTTTCTTCACATTATTGGTTCTAATATGTTTTAGGAAAAATTGCGCCCGTGTGTACGGAAGCTCTGAAGGGTCAAAATAAAATAAACAGCAAACACATTTGACTGTTTAAGAAGAAAATAACATAGACCATATTTTAATCTGTGTAGGAAACAGTCGGAATGGTGTTTGACTTTTCCAGCATCTCTTAAATGCAGCATGACTCATAATTGTGTGCCAAATTTCCAAACTAATGTGTAAATATCTCCAGGTAGGATTCACCTGGATGAAAGCCACCTGGATCTGAGGTGACTGACGCTGTTATCCAGCTACTTTTACCATCATTAGCTGGGATTTAAATCCAGAGTTCCCTGGTTCCACGTGGAAACGAATTACAGTAACAAGTCTGGACCGGCAGCTGCAGCACAACCTTCAGCATCCACCCATTGTTAGTTAATATAATCAGATGTTGTATTTCAGTATAAAGGTTTAATAATTCACATCCAGCTGCTTTAGAACTGCATTCCTTTGGGATGTTTTGAGGTCCGGCTCACTGAGAAACCATGTAATACTTGTTCTTTATGAAATACTTTTGATCACTCCAAGTTGCTGAGCATAAACATGTTTTTCAGCCCAGATCACCTGCCTTCTAGTAGCAACAGATCATTTTTAAACATTAAGCTAGAGCTTTAACATTGTTCTCAGTAATTGTTGCGTTAGAAACTTGACCAGTTTCATATTTGACACCACTCTGCTGACCGAAAGTTGCAGTTGATATTTTTGTGGAGTGGGTAGGTGTTCTAGGGGGAGCTCTTAACCTGCTACATGGCTGCGATGCTAGCGGTCAGCATTTTCAGTTCGCTGATCATCAATAAAAAGAAGAATTGAGCATTTTTTGTTGGCATCATGGCGGAACCTGGAAGTAAAAGTAAGAGAGTAATGTCTTTAGAGGTGAAGCAAAGAGCTAAAACTAGAACTAGTGAACATCGGCGCAGCCTGAGGGAGCTAATGGAGGCTACAGAATCACAGACTGATGGTGACCTGGCTTTGTTGCTACTGGACTTTTTTTGTCCAACAATGTGGATCTTTTTACTTAGCAGTTTGTTTTAGTGTTAGTTGACTCATGTTAGTGTTAGCTCGTTGTTAACGCTAGCTACAGGGGGCTGCTTCAGGGTTGTTTATGACAGATGCAATTCCAGTTTCAACCAGTAGGGCAGAGGAGCAGGAAACTGTTCAGTGTTACTTTCAATAGAAAATGGACGGGGAAAAAATCGGGTCAGAAAACGGCCAGTCTCTTCTACGTCACTGGAAAAACTACTATTCATGGCCACGCCCACCTTGGATGTCAACTGCCCACAGGAACTAGAGAGCAGTGTGTGTGCCGGAAAGTCGGACCTAACCGTTAGCAATAGCAACTCCTCAACATGGCGGAACACATCTTATACATTCAGGCTTGGGTTAATAGAGGAGATAACGCAACTCTGAGAAAGAAAGAAGAGAAAATGAAGGCATTGCTGTTAGCCAATCAGATGCTAGATGTATGCGTATCACAACAATCAATAAGCTAGATTCATGATTCTGTCATACCACACACACACAAGCATAGGAGCCTTTTTTTCCACAGAAAATGACTCACAAGGCATCTTTGAAAACACTAGTGAATGCAACCTTTAATATTATTAATTTGTAATTTGAACAATAGGTTTTATCACATTTGACTTTTCTCTCCCTTCCTGCAGCTCAGCCAGAGACAAGACCCTTTACAGGTCAGATGGCTAGAATGATCAGAAACCAGTCAGAAAACCTTTTATAATCAGTTGTTAGCATTAGCATGCTGTTTGCTCAGACAGCGATGCATTATGGGGTATTTGTGGGGTTAGGGTATCCCTGCTTTTATCGGAGCATGGTTCCAGGTGGATAAGTGGATCCATTCAGATTAGAATAAATGTTGCCTCAGTCAGCAGAAATGTTCTTCCTGTTGTTGTGAAACCATAAATATTCTGACTTTAATTCTATATGAAGATAATATTTATTTCAGACAGTTGATGAAACAGCTTCACTCTGCGTTGATTAGAAGTTATTTTTCTCTACAGAAGGATTTCAGCTCAAGGTTAAACTCTTTTTTTTTTTTTTACATTTTACACAGAAAATCTGCCTCCTCCGTTGTGCAATTAGACATCACACCTGAATAATGTTGAAGTCATTTATCTGTATCTGAAATCAACACAGTCCAGGTTCTGTTTGGTTGGAAAATAATCTTTCTTCCCATTTTTTTATTCTGTTTATTTTATTTTAATTTGTTTTATTAACTAATAAAAATATCTGGACTTTATTTAAACTTGTAGTTCATTCGGGTAAAATAATTTTAAAAAGGGGAATGGGTGGAGACGCGACCACCTGTTTTGATGAAGCGACTTTATGCAGAACCAAACTGGATCAGGATCTCCGGAACTACAACTCAATGGAATGTTCTGGTCTGCAGAGACTGGGTCAGAACCAACTAAAACTGGTCCTCCTTCCTACTCTGGTCACTCATCTCTTCACTGGTCCACCCTCTACAAGAAGATCAAGGAGCCAATCACTAGATAGATACTGATTATTCCATTTCATGTAAATGGTCCAGTCCATGGTGGTCTCCCTGGAGAAGACATGGCACCAAGTTGCATTATGGGATGAAGGACAGTGTGCTGCTTTGGGTTCCTGTGGCAAAAGCATGAAGTATTTTGGAATGTCCTGGATGAGTCTGAACCATAAAGGTCCCATCTTCTGCTGATGGGTCAGAAGCTCAGAGGTCCATAGAAGAGCAGGATGAGGCTGGCTGGGACTGGTTAGGTGGACGAACTTCATGACTGACCGGGTTATTCTGACCCGAGTCTGATGCTAGGTCAGGACCTGAACTGGTGGTTCTGCTGTTTGTGTCCTGGAACCAACAACTGATGGTTCTCAGCTCTTTCTATTTATCAGTTTAACAAAAATACTTCGTATCAATGTCAGAAACATGTCAGGAGTTATTCAGGAGGAAGAGAATTCTCCCATCAGATGTTGACGTTCTGCTTGTTTTTATCCCTGTCCAGATGTCAGGAAGAATGTCCGGTAGGGACATACGGACCCCAGTGTGCCCACAAGTGTGACTGTCAGAACGGGGCCAAGTGTTACCACATCAACGGAGCCTGCCTGTGTAACGAGGGCTTCAAGGGTCCAAGCTGCCAGGACCGGTTCTGTCCCGCTGGTCTGTACGGACTCATCTGTGACAGACACTGTCCCTGCAAGATGGACAACACGCTCAGGTACCGCAGCGGGATGGGTTCTAGTCAACGGGTCTTATCACTAAACAGGTTACAGGTGACATTTTTATTTGGTAGGTCTAGAGCCGTGCAGTTTTTTAGGGTTAGGGTTAGCATGTGAATATATTTAGCAACAGTGGTTTTCTCCGGATCCAGACCAGAACCTGGGGTTCTGATCGTGTGGTTTAATCAAAACTGAGATTTATTTCCTCTTCTTCTCCCCTCAGCTGTCACCCTCTGTCAGGGGAGTGCACCTGTGCAGCAGGGTGGGCGGGGCTTTACTGCAACGAGACCTGCCCTGCCGGTTACCATGGCGAGGGCTGCAGGGAGGAGTGTGACTGCACCAACGGAGCCGACTGTGACGGCGTGACGGGATCCTGTACGTGCGCGCCAGGATTCATAGTAAGTGTGAAAGCCAGACGGTCTGGAGCGTTTTAGTTCTGGTGCAGTCCTCATCACCTGAGGTCCAATCTTCAGAAACACACAGACCCAATTCAGACTGGGCTTCGATCCATCCGGTACCAGTCTATTAAAAACCAGGGAAGAGAAGCCACATGAAAACAGAACCAAGCAGAGTTTGTCCAAGTTCTGGTTGTTTTATTTTACTGGATGATCCAATCTGAGATGAGGAGAGAGAAACCTTCATCCGCCTTTCTTCTCCAAAGTCTTCAGAGAAACATTCCTTTTTTGATCAGAACATGCCGGTATTGACTCAGAACCGCCTAATGAATGTCCTCAGTCTGCAAGAACTTCTGTCTGCATGGGTTGCATCAGCTGTTGGACCGTTCAGAACAAAACAGGAATCAAAGGGATTTCCTGAGAGACGAGCGTGTTTAAATCCTCCAGAACCGTTCACCCAGAGGCGCCCCGTCGCTGTTGTGAATAGTTAAGATTCGGTTTCCAGCTGACGTGTGCACGAGCAGGTGCAGAGCGTGCACGTTGAGACGTTGGAGGTGATTTATCAGGTTCTGTTGACTCTGCAGGTTTAGACTCGGGATCGGGGGAATTCTGCAGGTGTGAACCAGGTGATGTGGGTAAGCCAGAGGTGTGTCCAGGAACCCACCGAGAACGTGTGTGTGTGTGTGTGTGTGTGTGTGTGTGTGTGTGTGTGTGTGTGTGTGTGTGTGTCTGTCCCCTGAGTTAAAAATCTTTGACTTACATCTTCATCACCAGAACATTATGAGGATTTTTGACCCGTTTTCAAATAATCTTGGTCCTGAATGTTAATATTCCAGGTTTTTTGCCTTTAGTTAATTTTTGTTTTATTTTTATTTTTTTATTAAACATTTTAAAGCATCAGGGAACCAGAGTTAGTGAGGAGCAGAATGAACTAAAACAGGATAAAATTAAAAAGGATAATTGTCACTTCCTGTTTCATTCAGCTGGAATTGTTCTGATATGATTTCTTTGGATAGGAATCTGCTAAAAGTGTTCTTTGGTCTGTGTGGGCCAGAACCCCCTGGTCGGATGGATCAGAACTTCTAAGTCCTGTCCTCTCGTCCCGGTTTCTGATAGCTGGACTGAGACCCTTAGGGATTGGACCTCTGTTAGTTTTATAGCAGCTGAACCCAGATGATGTGGCTCTGAGTGGGATCGACCCAGAGGAGACTTATGTGGTTCTGGTTGCTCCGACTCCAGTAACGGCCACATGGATGAGAAAGCAGCTTTCAAAAGAATTTAAATGTGGAATTGTCACTGGTTGGGACAATCGGATCGATGCTCGTAAACCTGTGCAGCTCAGAGGTTCTGAATCTGTTGTTCTCATTTGGTTCCTATAGGAAGTTCTCCTTGAGTCGGGCCTAATTTACAACCGCAGAACAGGAAGAATGAAACCTCCTTTTATCTCACCTGGACGAGGGTCAGAGGTCAAACTGTCTAGTCACATAACTGCAGTTCAGTCGTGTTTATAAATGAACATCAACATTTTTATTTTCAAATGTAAAAATTTGGTCTAAATCAGTGATTAAAAGTATTAAAAATGTGTTAAAGAGTTGCACAGCAGAAGGTTCAAAACTGGTACATAGAATAGAACAAAACCGAATAGAATAGAACTTTATTATTCCTAACTCTGATCAGGGGCCTCATTTATCGAGCTTGCTTACGCACATAACAGGGTCGGAAAACTGCGTGAGAAACTTTCCACGCAAACTTTGGGATTTATGAAAGAAAACTTAGCGGAAAAATGAGCGCAACTTTAAGTTAACTATGGCATACATACATTTTGGACATGGAGAGCACCTGCAGTGCTGCTGCTGAGAAGGATAAAATGGGCATGAGAATGGTGATGATGGTGGTGATTGTGATGATGATGATGGTGATGATGATTAGGATGATGGTGGTGATTGTGATGATGATGATGGTGATGATGATGAGGATAATGGTGATAATGGTCATGGTGATGATGGTGATGATGGTGGTGATTGTGATGATGATGATGATGATGATGATGATGATGATGATGATGATGATGATGATGAGGGTGATGGTGATGGTGATGATGAGGATGATGATGAGGATGATGGTGATAATGGTGATAATGGTCATGGTGATGATAGTGGTGATTGTGATGATGATGATGATGATAATGATGGTGATGATGATGATGGTAATGATGATGATGAGGATGATGATGAGGGTGATGATGGGGATGATGATGAGGATGATGGTGATAATGGTGATAGTGGTCATGGTGATGATGGTGGTGATTGTGATGACGATGATGATGGTGATGATGATGAGGGTGATGGTGATGATGGGGATGATGATGAGGATGATGGTGATAATGGTCATGGTGATGATGGTGGTGATTGTGATGATGATGATAATGATGGTAATGATGGTAATGATGATGATGATGATGATGAGGGTGATGGTGATGATGGGGATGATGATGGTGATAATGGTGATAATGGTGATAATGGTCCTGGTGATGATAGTGGTGATTGTGATGATGATGATGATGATAATGATGGTGGTGATGATGATGATGGTAATGATGATGATGAGGATGATGATGAGGGTGATGATGGGGATGATGATGAGGATGATGGTGATAATGGTGATAATGGTCATGGTGATGATGGTGGTGATTGTGATGACGATGATGATGGTGATGATGATGAGGGTGATTTTGATGATGGGGATGATGGTGATAATGGTCATGGTGATGATGGTGGTGATTGTGATGATGATGATAATGATGGTAATGATGATGATGGTGATGATGATGATGATGATGATGATGAGGGTGATGGTGATGATGGGGATGATGATGGTGATAATGGTGATAATGGTGATAATGGTCATGGTGATGATGGTGGTGATGGTGATGATGATGATGATGATGATGATGAGGGTGATGGTGATGATGGGGATGATGATGGTGATAATGGTGATAATGGTGATAATGGTCATGGTGATGATGGTGGTGATGGTGATGATGATGATGATGATGATGATGATGATGATGATGATGGTGATGATGATGATGGTGATAATGGTCATGGTGATGAGGATAATGCTGATGGTAATGATGGTGGTGGGCATGAGAATGATGATGATGATGATGATGATGATGATGGTAATAATGATGATGGTGATGATGATGAGGGTGATGGTGATGATGGTGATAATGGTCATGGTGATGGTGGTGGTGATTGTGATGATGATGATGATAATGATGGTAATGATGATGATGATGATGATGGTAATAATGATGATGGTGATGATGATGAGGGTGATGGTGATGATGATGATGATGATGGAAACTTAGTCCAGTTGCTGAACGTCTAGATGATGATTTAGCAAAGATTCAGACCCAACTGAGATTCATTCCTCACAGAACCATGGGGCGGATGGGTTCTAACAAGCCAGGGATACACCTACAGCTGTCTGCTTCTAGGGTTAGCAGCACTATTCAAGATGGTCACCAAAGCCAATCACCATTCAGACACTCAGATGTGATTGAGCTATTCATAACAGGAAGTTCTTTACATTAACTACAAAATAGTTTATTTTTATTTATGTTTAAGAATATTCCTGAAAATAAAACCTTCTGTGCTTTAGATCCGGTATGTCTAAACCACGGCCTGGGGGCCACAAGCACCCCTCTGAGTGTGTTTATGTGGCCCCCAGCAGGTTGTTGTTTCAGCTAGACAAGTTCTTATCAGACAAGTATTCCTGTTTTAGACCAAAAAAGATCAAATCATTTATCTGTGAGTTTCTAAAAATGATTTTTCATAACATAGGATCCGCTCTTCTGTTCAACATCAGGGTGTTCGTGACCTACTGTGAGTGAGTGAGTGAGTGAGTGAGTGAGACTCTGACTCAGTCTGAAGGATGGAGTTCCTCATCAGCTGAGATGATAAATGAAAATGACCCTCACTTGTAGATGTTCCTCATGCTGGAAACTGAAGTTCAACTCCTCCTGATTCATTTAATTAGACCATGAAAATTCTGATAAATGGACTTCTTTCATCTCTAAGTGTGTGTAAGGATGGGTTTAATTCCTAAAGGTGTGAAGCTGAGTGCCCGGACCAACTCACCTCCATGTCTTACTATTTTTCCCTCCACTCATTCTCAGAAGGAGGATTCAGGCAGGGGCGCAGATAGGATTTTCAAACTGGGGGGGACAAAGTTCCAATTTACCCTCTCCCAAACACATGCGCGCGTGCACACACACACACACACACACACACACACACACACACACACACACACACACACACACACACACACACGTACACATTCACATACACAAACTATTGCAAACGCCTTAACTAGAGCTCAGTCAGTTTGTGTAATTTCATCCAACGGTTTACGTAAAAACTAAAACTTTTATATACGTGTTTGAAGCCATAATGCAGTGGAACGCTGGCAACAAAACGAGCCTCTAGGCGGGAGGCAATTTTCAAACTGTAAAAACTCCCAAACTTTGCTCAGCCTGAAGGTTCCACATCTCCACTATCTTCTGATGTAAAGTAGTAACTTCATGAGGGATCATATTTGTAGATGAGATTTGTTAAAGTCAGCAATGAGGCTTTGGTGCTTATGACGAGTAAGTCCCAACACTGACAACGATGTACTGAAACTAGAACCAACATGCATAAACAGACAGATCGGTCCGCCTACTTACACTGTTGGTCTTTTTAAAATACGCAGTAATCGTTGCTTGTCTTTTTCGCTTCATCCTGCATCCTAGCAGCAACCACTTAGGTGCCTCTGGAGTCTGTTTGTTTACGTCATGCTGCATTCAATGCAATTGGAAAAAGGAGCTTCAAGCGCTTAACCTCCGATTTTGTTTTCTTTCTGGCCTTAGTGCAGGGGATGGATCGGGGTCGATCTGAATCTGGTGGGGACAGATCCCCCCCCCCCGTCCCCCACCCTATCTGGGCGCCTGGATTCAGGTCGCTGTGTTCCAGTTTAAACCACATATATCAGTTGTTGTTGATTATGTTGTTTTTGTTTTGATGGTGAGCAGAGAGCCGTCACATGCTTTAAAGACCAGGTTCTTTTGTTTTTAGTTGATGTCTGTGGGATAAAAGCTCTGGCGCTCCTGTTTCAGGAACTAGAAGTGAGACTGTTGGGTAATTTTATCAATCCCGGACTACCTTAGGGAAAGTTCAAAGCACAGGGGGTTATAGTAATCAATTGATCAACACCAATACCAATCAAAACAATCAATTTAGACGTTGCAAATTGGAGAGGAAAAATACACACCAGTCAACGGTTGCCAGTTCACTCTCATTGGCCTGACACCTTCCGACAGTATTTATTAAGCACACACACTCAAAAGATGAACGCACACACATTTTGACATTCCTTAGACTCTCAGGCGGAAAGCCGTAAAAAAGGGAGACTTAAGCTTTCTCCAGGTGCACTAAATCAACAAAGCAGTTTCTGGACTTTCTCAAGGGAGTTTTACTGATAAAGGTCGTTTCGAGGCTAGGTCATCCCCCTAAAACCTCCTCCCTGTAAGACCTGCAGGGGCCTGTTATCTATCAGTAGAATAAATGGATGAAGCCACGTTTAAAACACCAGATGCTTAACAGTCAAGACATTAATAATGTTAATATCAGCTTTTACCCATCAGAGACAGAGCAGAGATCAGCAGAAGCCGACAGTCCTCTTTCCTGACATCTCTCCTCTAATTTCATTTGCTCTGAAATGTTGATGTTTTAACTCCACAAATAACACAAGCCTGAACAAATTCTGCCGTGTGGCGGAGCTGCTAATGCTAACAGTTAGCTTCTACTAGCCGAGACGTTTCTCTGCTGTTTCCTGGGCGCTAAACCAGAAACAGCCTCCCCCGTCTTGAGCCAAGATGGGGGAGTCCGTGAATGTTAAATTTCATTTAGATCTGACTGGCTCCTAATCCGATCGTTCACCCGTCTGTTTTCTATCAGCAGCTAATAGGAAATAAAGAGAAAGGACGTTTTTTCATGTTTAGAAATTCAGAGTGACTGATTCTATTTCAAGTAAAACAAATAAAAAAATAATTCTCAGTGAACTTGCTCTTTTAACAGTGAATCTAATCACATTTTAATCCAGATTCCTAAATAAACAGTTCAATCTCTAATCCAGGATAAACTTAGATCCTGTCCTAATTTTTATGTTTTTCTTCCAGCAGCCGGAACCTTAGCTGCACTAACAACTTGATTCTGATGACCAACGTTCCTCTTTTAAAACAAAGCTTTGATTTGAACTTGGAGTAAGTAGATGAATGGGGCATGACTCTGTGTTTTTATGCTCAGGGAGACGACTGCTCCATCAGCTGTCCTCCAGGATTTTACGGGACCAACTGCACCTCCCTGTGCTCTTGCTACAATGAGATCTCCTGCTCGCACATCGATGGCTCCTGCATCTGCAGAGAAGGTTTGACTCGCTTCAATCTTCTGTTCATGAAAGAGTTCCTGTTCTCACGTGGAGCGGCAACTGCATCCGGATGTTAATGTGATGTAATTGCAGAGAAATTAAAGCTGTTGTTGTGCCTGTTCCTGAGGAGAAATTAGTTGCACACATTTTATTTATTTGTTATCTGATGTGAATAATATACATAAATTGAGTACAGTATGTTATGTTTGATTTGTTAGCTTGGAATAAACCTTTCCTTCATCCTTCATTCATCATACTAAAAATTCTCAGATGGAAACTGAAAACCTTTAAGAAAGCTCTGAAACACTTTGGAAAGTCCCTCGTGTGCTATGTTCGTAATTAGCTCCCCAGCGGTTATTTACCAGCTAACGGAACCTGCAGCCACTCGCCGGGCTGGAGTGGAATGTCCCGTGTCCTCTGAGTCATTCAGTCTCCAAGAATATAGGATTATTACCTTCAAAATTCAGTCTCTACACTCATATTTATAGCTCTGGACTCTGCATTCAGTATTTCCAAACCGGAACCTTTTCCATCCACCTCCTCAGCAGCTCTGCTTAGCTGTGGTGTACCTCAGGGGTCATTCCTCACCCCATTCTCTTCTACTTCTTTCCTCCTGTTCAGTTAATTGCAAACCATAAGAAACATCATTTCTATGTAAATGACACTCAGCTGTACGTGTGCTAGATGTCCCAGAATTCCCTCAGATTGAATTATTGGTGATAAATCAGACCTCATCCTGTTACTTCCAGTCATGTTTGTTCAAATCTTAACAGGATATAACCTAATCTTACCCAGGCTGTTGGAATCCAGCAGGAACACTTAATTCTAGCCTCAGTTTTGTCCGTTTTCATTCAAAATGATTTCAAACGTTTATATTTTACCTGAGAAACAAGCTCTGCATGCATCAGCTCTCACATTGACCACAGTAACAGTTTATGCAGATAAAGCCACCGACCTCCTCCTGCTGATTTAAACTCCACTGTAAGAAATAAAACATAAAAGCATCATCTACAGAATGCTCTAAAATGATCCTTTACAGGGATAATGAAATGCCACTCAGACCCCACCGCCCTCTGTGGCCAGAATGTTGCTCTTGCAACTTCAAAGTTGCTGGGCCGGTCCCTCTAAAGTGGGGCTGACATGCCTGGTGCTTGAGTCTGCTTCCAGCACGTTTCCTACATGTTTTAGTTCATGAACACACCTGATTTGTTTAATTTAGTGGTGAATCAATAAATTAAACAAATCACTAATGAAGGCTGGGAGAAATTCCAGCTGTTAGATTAAGATGTAAAAAAGTCAAACGCACAACGAGGAGATCGTTTCACTTTTGGTTTTACTAACAGACACTTGGGGGTGCTAAAAGCAACCAAAACAGCTTAGTGTCCCTTTAAGTCTTAATCAGCATAATTTTCACAAACCTTCCACAAATTCAGATTTTAAAAGCTTCCTGCTTCAGATGATCTAAATACTTGCTGAAAATGTCAGCGTCACATCTTTACCATCACCTGGATCAGGTGGACATGGATGGGAGGGCAGGGTTTGAGTTGGTTTTAAACACGAAGATTGGTTTTGGTTGTTAAATTAGTTTTTTTTTCTTTACAGATTCCTTAATAAAAATTAATGGAAAAAAAACATACAGTCAACTAGATCAGCATTTTAGGGAGAACTCAACCACATCTGGAGGTTATGGTTCCTGCATCTGTTAAATGGAATATTATAAAAAATTATCCCACTATATTCTGCCCACCTGTAGTAATGTATGAATCCACTCCTGTATGTTGCAACACTGCTGAAGAACCTTCTGGAACAAATGCATGTTTATTTCTTCAGGCTGGCAGGGCGTGGACTGCAGCATCCCGTGCTCCAGCGGTACCTGGGGTCAGGGCTGCAACCAGACGTGTCAGTGCACCAACGAGGCGGCCTGCGACCCGGCCAACGGAACCTGCAGCTGCTCGCCGGGCTGGAGGGGCGAGCACTGCGAGGTCCCTTGTCCTGTGAGTGGTTCCATCTCAGTAGTCATCCACCACTCGAAGTTTGGCCTCATTTATTCCTTTTTAACTCTCAAGTTGGAAACAAGTTGTTGAAACTTGGGAAGTAAAAAAATTAAAATCTAGAGCTTTTTATGGGGTGCTGGGCCGAAATTAATACATGAAATGACATCTGCATTTAGCCTAATTTAATAAAATAATAAATGTGGTGTGAAGTGATTAGTCAGGTTTTTACCACGTTAATAGAGAGCATTATTGTGGGTCGTCTAAATGTTTGAATACAAGTTCTAATAAAGTTTAATTTAAACATTTGGAATCTAATTTTGAAAGTAAAAGTTCAAATTAAATGTTGGTGTTTAATTATAAATGTTACTAAAAAATTAGAGTCGATGCAAACTAAATACATGGTCAGGCCAATTAAAAGTCACAAGCTGGATTTAACTAAGCAAACAGGATTATCCTTCAGCTGCAACAAGTTATTTAACCCAGCTGGTGCAATGAGTTGATTCTCATTTCTTAAACAACCACGTGGAAAGACACATCTGGTGGTTGTGGAAAAGATGTTCTGTCCTGGGTCTCCCTTTAGGCCTCCTCCCGGTTGGCCGTGCCTGGAAAATCTCACCAGGGAGGCGTCCAGGAGGCATCCTGACCAGATGCCCGAGCCACCTCAACTGACTCCTCTCGATGTGGAGGAGCAGCGGTTCTGCTCCGAGTCCCTCCCGGATGACCGAGCTTCTCACCCTATCTCTAAGGCTGAGCCCAGCCACCCTACAGAGAAAACTCATTTCGGCCGCTTGTATCCACGATCTCGTTCTTTCGGTCATTACCCAAAGCTCGTGACCATAGGTGAGGGTAGGATTGTAGATCGACCGGTAAATCAAGAGCTTCACCTTCTGACTCAGCTCTCTCTTCACCACGACAGACCGGTACAACACCCGCATCACTGCAGATGCAGCATCAATCCGCCTATCGATCTCGCGCTCAAGTTTTCCCTCACTCGTGAACAAGACCCTGAGATACTTAAACTCCTCCACTTGGGGCAGGACCTCATCCCTGACCCGGAGAAGGCTTTCTACCCTTTTTCGAATCAAGACCATGGTCTCAGATTTAGAGGAGCTGATTCTCATCCCAGCTGCTTCACACTCGGCTGCGAACCGCTCCAGCGAAAGCTGAATATCATGTTCTGATGAAGCCAACAGGACCACATCTTCTGCAAAATGCAGAGACCTGATCCTCAGGCCATCAAAATGGATGCCCTCAACACCTTGGCTGCACCTAGAAATCCTGTCCATAAAGGTTATGAACAGAACTGGTGACAAAGGGCAGCCTTGGCGTAGTCCAACTCTCACTGGGAACGAGCCCGACTCACTGCTGGCAATGCGGACCAAGCTCTGACACCGGTCATACAGGGACCTAACAGCCCGTATCAGAGGGCCTGGTACCCCATACTCCCGGAGTACCCCCCACAGAGCCCCCCGAGGGACGCGGTCAAACGCCTTCTCCAAATCCACAAAACACATGTAGACTGGTTGGGCAAATTCCCACGCACCCTCCAGGATCCCCCTAAGGGTATAGAGCTGGTTCAGTGTTCCACGGCCAGGACGAAAACCACATTGCTCCTCCTGAATCTGAGGTTCAACAATCCGACGGACCCTCCTCTCCAGAACCCCTGAATAGACCTCACCAGGAAGTCTCAGGAGTGTAAGAATTTAATTTACATCTATTTAATGAACCATAAGACATGAGATTCCATAGAAAATATGAAATCAATCTTTAAACAGAAGATTGGAACTTTTTATTGCAGGGATTATGTAACAACTTCGTATTCACTCAGAGACAAAAGAAAGAGAGTCAAGTTTTAAAAGTTTAAAGATTTATTACTAAACAAATTAATACTAGACTAACTTTAAACACTAAATGTATGGTGTAACTAAGGTGAATTGAGACGGAGAATGGTGTAGTGTGGAATGTTGTTCAGAACCAGCAAATCCGCAGAAACGATTAGTTCTGATGGGAGTGAAGGTGATGTCTTCGCGCTAAGCTTTGATTTGGAGATTTATAACACACATTGAGATGCCATTCTGTCGGTCTGCATACCCTTTCGGAAGTCCCTGTTAGATCAGGAATGTCGAGGTCCAGCTTGACCCTCTCTGGAACCAAAGCCGGCAGGAAAAGCAGCGGTTGCTGACCAGACCAGTCTTGAGATATTTCTGGGTCACGACAGTTTATTGGTATCTAGCAAGACCCAAAACGGGGTTGTGATGGTTCAGCTTTTATTCTGAAAGGAACCGTTGCAACAGTTGGAACAGCAACAGATTTTATCCAGCTTGTCGTTGGTTCTTTCGGCTGAAGAGGAAAGTTACGGATTGGCCACTCCGACAACTTCTCTAGAACGCTTTGAACTGGAGTTAAAGATGACGTGGGCATAGTTTTATAACTCGGATGTTTTGATTAACGGTCGAATGAAAAGATGACAGATTTACCAAGCACCACCAAAACCACGCCTCCGTCAGATCTGGAAGATTCTGATTGGATCAGTAAAAGCAATGTGCCATGTGTCGTAACGCTACGTGTAATCAGTCTCAGGTAGAAACATTTAAAGATATATTACTTATTATATTCTGTAGGGTTATAATATCAAGTAATTAATATTTTCATTTCACAAATGGGTTCACATTTTATTATTGACTAACACTTTGTTTGATTAGCTTATTAAAAATAGAGTTCTTTGATTTATTAAAAAGAAAGAGTCCTTTGTCTTCATTCTTCTCTTGGGCTGGAAAGGAAAACAGTTTAGAAGCAAATGCATGAGACCTTGAGGCAGTCTCATGCAGATTAGTTCTTGCTGAGGAGAGGGGGGAAATGACTTTTAGGTGGAAAACAGTCATTTCCTTCCGTTACAGGAGTGTGATCCCCCTGTTGATCAATGAAGCCAGGATTCATCGGGCTCAAATTGTGAAAAAGTGGTTCAGGGAGCACGAGATATCATTTTCACACATGGATTGGCCACCACAGAGTCCAGACCTTAGCCCCAGAGAGAATCTTTGGGATGTGCTGGAGAAGGCATTGTGCAGCAGTCATACTACCATCATCAATGCAAGATCTTGGTGAAACATTAATGCAACACTGGATGGAAATAAATCTGGTGACACTCCAGAGGCTTATTGAAACAACGCCACAGCGAACGCGTGCCTTAATAAAACAAAACGCTGTCCAATTAAATATTAGAGTGTTTGATGTTTGTTTGGGCCAGGCAGTGTGTTTATATTTTGTTCTAAATGCTTAGTTTTAATCATCTGTATGTTTACTTTATAATTCCACATTTAGATTAGCATGTTTTATAAAATAATTAGGTCAAATAAAACTGGTAACGTTTATATATATATATATATATATGTATATATATTATTTTTTTAGTTCGTTTATAAGAGGAACTCTGGATCGTTTGTCTCTTCTCTTTTTATTTAATTCGTTTTGCTGTCACAGATGTTGTTTTTGTGACCAGAAGTTATTTGAATTTGTAAAAATTTTCCGAAGTCCATGTGTGTTTTTATTTTCCTGTGTTTCTTTCATCAGGACGGATCATACGGGCTGGAATGCACAGAGAAATGTGACTGTGTTCATGCTGAAAGCTGCCATCCCACCACCGGTGCCTGTCGCTGCCTCGCTGGGTGGACTGGTGAGTTCTGGGGGGAATGACTATGACCCAAAACACACACACACACACACTTCTACATTCATCTATAGGTAGGTCTATATATATTTATGTTACAATCCTTGCAGAAGCGTGTAAAACGTCTCCGTGACACTTAAAGCCGAGAACTTAACGGGAAATTGATGTTTGAAACTTCTATTGTTTATTGGGATGAAAACACCTGAGGCGAAGGTGAATAAAGAGATCGATGTGACACACATCAGGTCCAAACCTGCAATTTAGAAACTGATGAAGATTCAAGCTCAGATGAGTTAAATGGGTCAGTTCAGACTCCACTCCATCCAGGTGTGTCAAATGTCTGTGTTCAACCTTCTGATGGCGGATCGATGTTGATGATGCCATCGCTTTATGACGTGATGAAGATGAAGCCTGATGACAAGGATGAAGCAGTCCAACATTAAGGTTTAAAGGTTGGATTTAAATAGAGTTCATTTTTATCTTAACAAGGTGAAAAATTGATCAATTTAATCTCAGATATCGATTTGAGTTGTTTGACACAAGGTTTATGTGGAGTCTTATTTTGGTATTTGTGATAATTAGTATGATCGTCTATATATATTTTATAACAGTACAAATATTCAGTCATTTCTGAAAAAGGCTAATGTCGATGTGTTCATGTTTACATTCTTTAACATGTCAAAAATGAATATATCAGCATGCTGATAACATGACAACAGCACGTGAATGTCACACAACATGAAAAGTCATGTAATCCCTGCTGGCTCCAGCCCTAGAACTGGCTCATCTTAATAATGTAGAGAAGATGTTCCTACATTTATTTAGAAACCATAAAATGTGAAATATCACCTTCATGGATCTTTAAGTAAATTTAATCAGAAGATCGAATATTTTTATTGCAGGGATTGAGCAACACTTCATATTAACTTCAAGAAAAGAGTGAGTCAAGTTTTAAAAGTTTAAAGATTTATTACTAAACAAATTAAACTAGACTAACTTTAAACACTAAATGTATGGTGTAACTAAGATGAAGTATGTTGGGTATTTTTTATTTATTTAATCCAGGCGTACCTCAAAGAAAGTCCAAAGCACACAAAGGGGGTTAGAAATAATATTGTTGTTATTAAAACCATTTACCAATAACCATAAATAATCAGTAATCAGATTTTGCAAAACCGGAGAGAATAAAGGAAACTCGCACAACAAGGAGGTCGTTTAGTCTCTCAACAAGCAGAAACTCATCAAAAGGTTTTATTCACAGATGTCAAAGCACACACACACACATTGAAAGTTGACCCAACCTCCTCCTTAGAAGCTTTGTTGTGATAACACGACTGCAGACTTACAAGGTCGACTTTTCCCTCTAGCAGGAGCAAAACAACACCAGATGTTTTCCCAGACAAAATCATCATTTATGCATCCAACTATTTACCATTATAAATGTGGATAAGGTTAATGAACTCTGTTTGACACTATTTTTATCCAACAAAGTAAGACTGAGAATGGTGTATGTGTGCATATGTTCAGAACCAGCAGATCCAGAGAAACGATTAGTTCTGATGGGAGTGAAGATGATGTTTCGCGCTAAGCTTGGTTGGAGATTCATAACACACATTGAGACGCCATTCTGTCGGCCTACGTACCCTTTGCGGAAGTCCCCGTTAGATCAGGAATGTCGAGGTCCAGCTTGTGTCATGTTGGCGTCTAATTTTCTAACCCACATGCAGAATCAGAGCCGGGAGACAAAGGTAAAAGACAATAATGATATTTATCTAACGAGGTGATGACAGGTGAGGCACTTTCGAGGAAGCTCTGATGTACGGGGCAGAATCTAACAGGAGAAACACAGGAAGGTGAGGGGACGGCGGCAGGGAGCGTAAATGGTGCAAACTGATGCGATCTTACTTTATGGTCGAGAGGTGTAGATGCATAGGAGAGGATAGGTCTGGCCTGAGGTGGAGATCCAATCCTTGGAGACGTGGAGTGAGGATGATGAGGGGTCCAAAACATTAAGCGAGGCAGGTGGGGGGGGGGGGGGGGGGGGAGGGAGAGAGAGAGAGAGAGAGAGAGATCGGCTGGCGGGATGATGTAGAGTGATATCTGCTGTAGGAAAATGCAATCAGCAAGGGCACAAAAACAAAACACGCTCAAAGATAGCGACAGAGCTCGAGACTAGGTCGTATACCCAAACGAGTTAATCATCCGACGTCGTGTAGGTCTCAGACTGCCCCTCATATAGCCAGCCGGTGATTGCAGCTGAGTGGCTGCAGCTGGGCAGTTCTCCGGCACCGCCCACCTGCAGGAGAAGGGTTAGTGTGGGGAACAATATACCTCAGGCCATGACAGCTTGACCTTCTCTGGAACCGAAGCCGGTAGGAAAAGCAGCGGTTGCCGTCCGACCAGACCAGTCTTGGGATACTTCCGGGTCACGACAGTTTTATTAGCATCTAGCGAGACCCAAAAAGGGGGTCGTGATGGTTCAGCTTTTATTCTGAAAGGAACCGTTGCAGCAGTTGGAACAGCAACAGATTTTATCCAGCTTGTTGTTAGGTTCTTTCGGCTGAAGAGGAAAGTTACGGATTGGCCACTTCTTTAGAACGCTTGAACTGAACTTCAGATGACGTGGGCAGAGTTTTATAATTTGGATGTTTTGATTTACGGTCGAATCAAAAAAGGACAGATTTACCAAGCACCAACAAAACACGCCTCGCGACACATCTGGAAGGCTCTGATTGGATCAGAAAAAGGAAATGTGTCATGTGACTTAACATTACGTGTGATCAGTCTCTAGTGGAAACATTTAAAGTTATATTACTTATTACAACTACAGATCATAAACATTGTCATTTCACAGATTGGTTCACATTTTATTATTGGACTAACACTTTGTTTGATTAGCTTTGTTAAAAATAGTTCTTCTGATTTATTAAAAGAAAGAGTCCTTTGTCTTCATTCTTCTCTTGAGCTGGAAAGGAAGCAGTTTAGAAGCAGAGCATGAGACCTTGAGTAATATTTCATGCAGATGAGTTCTGTGTCAGAAACTTCTGGTTTTGCTTGAGCAGAGCAAAACAGAGCAGGGCCTTTTAGGTCAGAAATGGGCAATTCATCACGCTACAATAATATAATCAATAATACAAACGGTGGATCTGAATGCTTAATAAATCTATAGAATAAAACATGAATTTCCAGTTTGTTCGTTTAAAACTGAACCAGGTCGGAAAGAGTTTGAGTCACTCTGAATTCACTGAACGTGTTAAAACTTCCCTTTCTTCCACCTCTCCTCCTCAGCTTTTGTTTTAACTTTGCAGATTCTGATTTTCACCAACTTAAAAGTTTATTAATCCTAATGGATGCCTGCGCCTCACTCTCATATTCTCTCATATTCTTAGTCAAAGAAAGTTTGTAATGAGCTGCCGGCATAGCAGACTGCTGCACCACGGGGGGCAGATACACTCCTCCGTCTGCGTGTCTCTGTCTAAATTTAGACCTGCTGGTAAACTTCTTTGTGTGCAGAGAGTCGGAGTAAGTAAGAATTAATGTAATGCAGGCCTCCTGGGTGCCGCCGTCTCCAGACCATCTCCCGTGAGCAGCGAAGGCTCTGATCCATTCTGCAAACCAGCATTTGTGAAGACTGATTCCTGCCTCTCAGGACGCACAAAGACACCAACGTGTGCGCGTAAGACTGATGAAATAAAGAGACACTTCAGCAGAGGATTAAAGGCCAAAGAGTCATAGAAAAAATGTAGAAATATTACAGTTTTTACATTTAATGTGTGTTGAGATGGAAACCATTATTGAAATAAAAACGGACACAGATATCCGCCAGGAGGTGAAGTTTAACGCCGAGGGGACACCGGCCGCCGAAGCGCCGCGAAAAGGGGGCCGCCTTCATTCAGTGCCCTTGTTATCCTATTCTATAGACAACATGGGCCGCCAAAGCGCCGCGTGCCACTCCAGCCTGCGCCGTGCAGCGATCGTTTCAGCGTCTGCTCTATTTTTTTCGAGAGCCACGGGTGAACCGCGTCAATTCTGGCAGGAAGTCAAACCTAGACATAAGAGGCAGGCTGGTAAATTTAAAAAAGTAAAGCATTTCAAAATACAATTCCGTGATAGGCAAATGTGTTTGTAAACAGACAATGCATTAAATCCACAGGAACAAACACACACAAACACACACACAGAGCGAAATTGTGTGTGTGCAACCACGTGAAGGGGTTGTGGTTTTGGGTGTCTTTCAACCGGGGCAAACAGGACAGAGAGGCAGAAAGTCGTAGGCCAACAACTGGTTCACACCATAGGTTCTCACACACACACACACACACACACACACACACACACACACGCACACACACACACACACACACACACACAAACTGCATGGGGAGGGGGGTGTCAAGGAAAAGAGCAGAGAAAAGGCGGAGAGGAAATGGAGAGAGGGTGCTCGCTGCAGAACCACAAAGGCGGAGCTGCACCAGGGTCAGCCCCGCCCATTCACGCAAACTCAGCCTAGCCCACTGACTTCCGTTTTTGTTTTCCAACTTCATCGCAAACTAACCTGACCCACATGAATTATGGCTATTACTACTTTACAAATGTTAATGCTCCAATTAAACAAGATAAATATAACTTGCTACATGACAAAGCCTGAATACATCTTGAAATGAAACGATTTCTTTTAGCAGATATCTGCCCACAGCCGCTCTAACAATAATGTGGGGCAACAGCATGAGTGACTGTCATATGTGCTCTGGTAGTCCAGTGGTAAGATCATCTGAAGCAAATTTTGCTTCACCCTCAGCTGATGCTGGTTCGATTCTCAGTGAGGTCGGCATCAATCTATTTAGCCAGCTGAAACATTGAATTTGTTTATATTTTAGTTGTAATGTTTATTTTTCAGCAAAATATTTATGTCTCTAAAAGTTCTTTGAATTTGGTCGTTCCTAAACAGCATTTTAGTTGAAACTCTGCTCACAAATGGACTCACACTGGCTAAATAAACGAATAAATAAATAAACACATTAGTCATTGTATTGTAAACAGTATACCAGTAAATTGTTGTAAACATAGTACTGGCAAGTGTAGCTAGAAATTAAGAAAATGGGTTGTAATCTACCTAAGATTTCTGCCACCGGGAGTCGAACCTGCGCAAAACTATATGCCAACCTGCCTCCATAGCCTCTACCCCACCACATCTGATATGAAGTAAGTGGCGTTACATGTAATTGTCCTATCCAGTGTGTCTTTGGAGATGGGATGTATGGTTTATTGGCGGTGTCTCAGTAGAAGTCATTTCAGAAATAATTTGTCAGAAAATTCACAGAATATCCAGATTTGAGAACCAAGACCAGACCCACTTCAGGGGAGGAGACCAAATTGAAGCTGAGATGGGAGGAAAATGCATGAATGAGGCCAAAAATGGCTTTGGCGTGTTTCTTATGAGGAAATGACAATATAACATGATAAAAAAGTTCCAAAAGTTAGATTTTTAATTATATAGAACCTTTACAAAAACTGTTCAGTTAACTTCTCACCTCCGTCCTCAATCTTGTATTTTTTAGCTATAAAACCCTCTTTGGTTCCAGAATGCTATCAAGTCTGACAACTGGAAGGAATTGTACTGACTCTGATGGAATGGACGGGGCTGACTCTGGAATGGGTGGGGCTGACCCTGGTGCAGCTCCACCTTCTGGTGCAGCTCCACCTTTGTGGTTCTGCAGCGAGCACCACTTGGAAATGGAGGACACCAAGTGGTTAAAAGAAAAACTACGAGGCGCGCCTCGAGCGGAGGAACAAGCGTCTGGTCTGAACTGAGGAGCAGCGGCCGAATTTTGTGAGCGCTTCGCCTCCCGGCGCTTCGGCGGCCGGTGTGTAATACAGACATGTGTCGGGAAATTAAAAAATAAACTTCAGAGTTAGTAAAACAAACCAGAAACCTGATGTGGTAACTAGGTGTAAAAGTGAACCTGGTGTGAAGCATAAACAGCTGTGGTGGGTATCCAACTGTGGAGGTTAACCAGGTGTAGAGGTTAACCAGTTGTGGAGGTTAACCAGGTGTGAAAGTGAACCTTGTTTGGTGGTTAATGTGATTTGTAAGTCAACCAGGGCTAAAGGTGAACCTGGTGTGGATATTTACAGGGTTTGGGGTTAACTAGGCGTGGAGGTCAACCAGAAAAGGTAAGAAACAGAGCTGATAGCAAAAGGTGTTCCAGAATAAAACTCAAAGTTTTTCTTCATGTTTTGGTTGTGATTTATTGGGTTTCTTGAATCCATGTAGTTTTAAATTGTATGTGTCTTTATGTTTCTGTCCCTTTAGCTTTGACATGCCCCCTGCCAGCACACCTGGATTTAGTTAATAAATACCACACCCACATACCGTGGGCACTTTTTTTATATGTTTTCTTGGTTTTTCTTTTGCTTGGGTACAAGAGTGGGATGTAAATGACCAAACATGGCAAGCAGACATTTATATGTTGGTAATGGTTGGTCAGCTGTGGCGGCCATCTTGACACAGGCTGACTGCTGTTGATGTTTCTTATCTGTTATCACTATCAAAATCCATCCGTTGGTTCAACACTTGTTTCACTAACAGGCAAAAACATTACCACTCACCTGTAAAGTAACTGAACATAAATGAGACGTCTGTCACAGCAGGAAAACACATTTACATTTATGATCAGATATGTAGTTTTAAAACTGATTTATTGTTTGTTTGTTTTATCTGATCCCAGATGAATGAGTCCATTTTACTTTTCCGACTGTGCAGTGACACGTTTATTAGTTTGTGTTGGAAATGGATTCTCAGACGGCTGTTTGTCTCCGTTGGACTTCAGCAAATATAAATAATAACATCTGTCACATGAATCAGATGCTCTGCTGCTATTAAATAAATTAATGAGGATTTATTTATTGTAAAACTGGTGATTAATGTTGTGTCATCAGTTAAACGTAGGCAGAACCAGTTTAACCACCTTTCATCCCAGTTTCATTAAACACTAATGTGTTGTTCTTCCTGACATTTCAATAGACAAACAGACAATATATACGAATCAATAATGAGCCTGATCCTTGTGTGTGTGTGTGTGTGTGTGTGTGTGTGTGTGTGTGTGTGTGTGTGTGTGTGTGTGTGTGTGTGTGTGTGTGTGTGTGTGTGTGTGTGTGTGTGTGTGTGTGTGTGTGTGTGTGTGTCCAGTAATGCAAAACAAAGGGCAGGTCAGCCTGCAGGATTGCTTCAAAGGGAAATGCACTTTCTGCATAATAATTGTCAATCTGCAGGTGTGTGTGTGTGTGTGTGCGCAAGTTGTGTGCTGCAGTGTGGAAAGAGGGAAAAAAATTGTGCCATGCAGATGTAAAGACCCAGAAGCAGATAAAAAAAGGGAAAGAAAGGAATTATAAAGGTTAAAAAAGAAGAAAGAAAAGAAAAAGTGTTGTGGGTGAGAGGTGGTGAGGGAACAGGTGAACATTTCTAAACGGATCTAGCAGCTGCAAATCCTGACATGTTCAAACCCAGTGAGTGCTGTTAATAATAATAAAGTTGTACCTGAAGTTCGTCTAATAAAGCCAGTCTGTTACTCCTCGGTCTTTGTAGATCTTACCGTCAACAAACAGTTTATCCACGGAGATCACAGCCCGCTTCCCATCCTGGGTGTATTTCTTGCGCAGCGGGAAGAGAACTCGGCGGCGGTCCAGAATTTCTTTAGGAAACTGATCGTTAACGCTGTAGTCTTTACCTTTAAGCTCTCTCCCGCGGCTTTTAACAAGATCTTTCTGCTTAAAGTGCTCATATTTAGCCACGATGGGACGAGATCTTCTGCTGTCTGTTCTCCTGGCTCCAAGGCAATGTACCCGATGAAAGGTGATGTTTTTAACCGTTTCCTCAGGAATCTTCATGTGGGTGTGGAGAAAGTTCTTGATGGTTTGTTCGCAATCCTCAGCTTCTCCTCCGGTCAGCTCTGAAAGGCCTGCGAACACCAGGTTATCTCTCATGCTGCGTGATTGGAGATCCAGAACCGTCTCCTTTAGAGCTTTGTTGTCCTGGGAGATCCGATCTAGTCCTGCAGTCAAGGAGGAAACCGATTCTCGCAGAGAAATCTGGACGTTCTGACCGTGGTGGTGGCACGCTTAGATTACCCAGCCGACACACACGCACGTGCGTTGTTTTACAACTCCAGCCGCGAGCCGCTCCACCTGCTCCTGGCTAAACTCCAGAGATGTTCGGAGGTCCTGGAACTCCTTGTGAAGCACCTCTAGCAGGTGGAGTCGTCCCTCAAATCCCAGAAGCCGTGTATCTATGGACTGTAGTAAATCTAAGACATCCTTATGGGGAGATGAGGCCTCGGGCGAGTCCTGGGGACGGCTCCTCTTGGTCCCAGGTGTTTCCGTCTCAGCTGCTGCTGCTTTCTTCGGTCCCATGACAAAAAGCTCAAAAACCTCGTCAATATATATTTGCAAATTTTCTAAATTTTCTCCACTTACCTCCAGGTTGAGTATGTTATATTTACCAGATTTATTCATTTTTTTGCGTTGTCAGTGAGTAAATTAGGCGAAAATCTGTCTTAATTGTTTGTGGAAGTTGATTAACAAGCTGCCATCTGCTTCAAAACGCCGCCGTGTGTCCAGTGATCGGGCCGTCTGCGCATGCTCTCTCCTCTCCCCCGCCGCCATGCGAACACCTTTTAATGAACTGTTTAAGCTGTTAATTTGATTTATGTGTTAACTCATGCTTGAATGTTTTTAACGTTTGTTTCATGTACAAGTTCTAAAACGTTACGAATTAAAAGGCAAAAATTACAAATGGCTACATTAAAAGCCTCCTAACAGCCATTGCCTGGGCGTAACGTTTGTGTGTCCCCCACCCACAGGAGTCCACTGTGATGGGGTTTGTGAGGAGGGCCTCTGGGGGCCAAACTGCTCCTACAGCTGCACCTGTGAGAACGGTGGATCCTGCTCACCAGAGGACGGCTCCTGCGTGTGCGCGCCGGGATTCCGTGGAACCAACTGCAGGAGAAGTAAGGGAACCCTCTAACCGCACATCCCTGGAAACTCCTCTTCCTTTAGTCACAGCAGACATCCTGGATGTTTCTACTCGTCCGATTCCTCGTATCTCACTGCAATTCATTCCTAGGAAAGTTGCAATAATCAGGTCAGAACAAATGTTCAGACAGGTGATTTTATTCCAGATTTGTTCCTGAGGATCAGAGACTGTCAGCCGAAACATCCTGGAACCACTAGAGATCCAGCCCAACAGAACCCGGTTCCATATCGGTAATGGGAGTTGGAGCAAAGTTCACGCTGATGGAGATCGGAGCTCCTCCTGCCCCTCAGTGAGAGATTTAAGGCCGCTCAGTTCACAGTTTAAGTAATTACCTTAATTAGGAGAAGGCTGGAGCACGGAGGAGGTCAGCCTGCAGAGGAAAGCCTCAGCACTTAGAGAAACATCAATTAAAGCTAATTAAACGCTTTATAAAGACGTATGAGTGAGGATCTGCTCTGGAAGGAAAAACGGAACGACCCAAAGGGGCCAAGCTAACAGACACAAACCCACTCCATCAATGATTAACCTGCTCCTCTCCGCAGCCTGCCTGCCTGGTTCCTACGGCCACCGCTGCACCCAGTCGTGCCCTCAGTGCATCCACAGCGACGGATCGTGTCACCACGTCACCGGACACTGCAGCTGCCTCTCCGGATTCTTCGGCCCCCTCTGCAATCAAGGTGAGTCCTGAGTGATCAGCCGCCTGTGCACAGATGCTCCGATACGGGAATAATAACAAGACAGAACTTAAAGTCTCTAAACATGCAGAAACATTCTAAAATGCTAAACTAGAACAAAGCAGGTGCAATTTCAGACCCCTCTGCTCCTACATTTCCCATGATTCCCTCCGCCTGAAGCTGCATGGGTGCTTCTGAAACACTGGAGTTAAAGCATCACCTGGTCTCGTGCAATGCGTGACCAGCAGCGTGGAACGCTTTCGCTCCTGTTTCATCCAATTGTAAGGGAGCTCGTGGGTAAAACACTGCTATTATATTACACACCACTTTCACGTCTGGTGGAACGGAGGTGTGAGTCTTCTTAGCTGGTCACTTTATTAGGTACACCTATTCCTCTCAACGAGCCAATCAGACTTTATTTATGTATATGTTGATGGTAGCAGCTGATTAACATTGGAAAGGCTGAAATAATACCTCAACTGAAGCCACAAATCCCAAATGAGCTAAAACGCAAGAAGCGTGGGTGCAGAGCGGGAGCAAAACGGAGACAGAGAAAGAGGAAATTCAAACCATCTCTTCCATCGATCATAATGGGCAATGTGAGATCACTGGCCAACAAGATGGATGAACTCAAAGCCCTTTCAAGGACTCAGCCAGAGTTTCGGCAGTTTCAAAACCGTTGGAGGAGATGATGCAAAGAAGGATTCTCCAGAGAATCAAGAAAATGATGGACAACCCTGAGCATTCTCTTCACAAGACTGTCCGACAACGGAAGAGTGTCTTCAGTCAGAGGCTTCTTCAGTTTGGCTGCAACACTGACCGCTACTGGAGATCCTTCCTGCCAACAGCCATTGTAATATACAACAACTCTTTGATGACTTGATTATTATTATTATTATTCTGAGCTACTACAGCAATCAATTTCCCTCTGGGATTAATAAAGTATTTGAATTGAATTGAATTTGAAAATAACTTTGAGCAAACTTGTAGGTTTTCACCATGTTTTCATCCAAGAGCCCAAAAGATGAATAAGAAGTGAAAAGATTGTTCCGAAGTTCTCTTTCACAACTAAAGATCAGCTCAAACACATTTCACTGACAGGCACGCCTGCCCAACAGCTCGTTAACACAAACATGTAATTGTCCAATCAGAGGGCAGCATTTATTCACCTGGACGGCCTGCTGAAGTTCAAACTGAGAATCAGGATGGAGAAGAAAGGAGGTCTAAGACACTCTGAAGAGACTCCAGCAGCAGCAGACCACACCAGGTGTCTCTCCTGTCATCTAAGAACAGGAAGCTGAGGCTACAATTCCCACTGGATCACCAGAACTGGAGCAAAAGAGACTGGAAACACCTTCCCTGGTCTGATGATTTTGGATTTCAGCTGCAACATCAGATGGTCAGGAATGTGTTTCCAAGCAGAAAGCAGAATGAGTGAATTATTGCACCGTTTGTTTCTTCCTGTTCACAATTCACAATTTCATCAGATTCTGAATTAAATCTGGTGTTTTTCAGCAGAACAGAGGGAAGTTAAACTGGTTTAATGTCAGACAAAACTCCCGGGAAAGCCGATCCTTCCCTGTCTGGTTAATTATTCTCCTTAAGCTCTGAGAGTGCTTTGATTCCGAGTTTCCAGACGATGGTCACACTCTGCCAACTGTTACGTTAGTGGGAAGATCTCGTTAACGGCCCTAATCAAGATCTTAATGAATAACTTTACAGAGAAGAAGCTGCAGCTGGTTCTAACTGGACCTCTGTAGAACTTTGGTTCTGTTCTAGACCTGGTGCTGATCCACGCTTCAGACAGATAAACTTGCATCAGCCTCCACTTTGGTATCCAGAGGAGTTCCTGGTGGAGTCTTGGTGAGTCGAAACCAGCCCAAATCATCAGCACTCCACCACCGTGCTGACAGCTGGGATCAGCTGGTTTTAGCTGCAGTGCATTCTGGGCAAACACCACAGCTTTGGTTTCTCCAGGTCCGGGACAAAAACCACGACCTCTCTTCCAGAGGACCAGAGTTCTGAGTCTGCCTCAGTTCTGGTTCTGAAGAGCATCCTGATCAGAACCACCTCCGCTCACTGGTTCTGTTTGGATTTAGGTCAGTAAATGAATAAATAGCCATTTTTGGACCACATTATTTTTATTATTATTTTGATGAATTGATTAAAATGATCAGTAGAATTAAAATCAGAGCAAAACTGAATTTTTGCTGCTAAAAGTATAAAAAATCCTTGACTGAGTCATTAAACGAAGAGCTTGGCCTTGTGACTCTGCCGCTGAGCGACTCTAAATGATGTTTGTTTCTTCTGAAGGAAGCTGCAGGTTGCCGAGAAGCTCTCGGAGCCTTTTTCAGCCCTCCGTTAATAAGCTCTCAGACGAGCGCCGTCGCTGTGAGCCGCTCACGTTAATTGGTAATAATCAGAAAGGCCTGGAGCACATGAATTCACCGGCAGGCTTGTCAGGCTCTATCCACGTGTCCGTGTTTCATTATGGAGCGCCAACATAAAAGAGGAATGTTAGACGCCAAAGCAACAGGAAATTCGTCTTTGCGAGGTCGAATCAGCAAAACGAACCAGTTTCCTGCCGACTGTTCCAGAGTTCTGAGACAGAATCGTTAGTTTGTATCTTCGTCCTTTTGTCCTGGAGAACAGAACGTATTAGAAACATAAACCATTTATAAGCTGCTTTCATGTGAAGCTTTACAGTAACAACAGTTTGTTAGCAGCAGCTAAACTCCTCATTCATTCATATTTTACAAAATCATCACTAACTAAACTCTTCTAATTAAAGACGAACAAAACAGGATAAATTAATTTCTTCTAACAGAGGTCAAAGGTCATCTGACTTAAACATCAAATTCTTCCTTCACTTTTTTTTATTTCTTCTTTAATCTCGTGTTTGTACCAAAACTTGTTGGGTTTTTGTTTCTGTTACCTCCGTTTGAACGATAATATTCATGTTATAAACCGGTGGTCCTGAATAGGCAGTCCACGGGCCCCCTCTGTGTGGCCCCTGAACCCTGCGCACGAGTCTGGACCACAGGTTTTTGTCTGAAATTGGACCCAGTTTTCGTTCTGGTACCAGAACTTTCATAGGAATACTTTGAACTTTGACCTCAGAACCATTCAGAGTTGCTTCTAATAGGATGAAACTGGGAGGGGACCTTCCCAGAGCCTCGTTCCTGTTGGGTTTGATCATGTTTATCTCCAGATGAGCTCAGATCCAACCTCCTCCTAAACTGTTAAAGATGAAGCAGAAACCGAGGGTCTGCCCGTCAGCCTGGTGGTAATTATCTTCACCTGAAAATGAGGCAATCAGCACATCAGAGCTTTTCTCAGAACCGGGTCTGACTGAAGTCCATTAAAGGAAATTTGAAATTTGCTCCTTTTATTTCACACTCATCATTTGATTGAACAAATATGTTTTTTTTCTACCTGAACAAACCTGCTGAGATTAAATCAGCGAAGCTTCAGAACCAAGAGGTCAGACTAAACAATTCTGAACTTCTCTGATCAGAGCCAAGTGAAGAAGGTTCATCACCACATTGGTTTTAGTTCTGCTGGACATCAGAACCTAGTTCACCTGGAACCTGAAGGAAACATGTGACACATTTCAGGTCATCAGACTCACTTTAGAGACCGGTGCGATTCCTGCAGAACCAAATCCAGACCTGTCCCTGGGCTCTGAGCCTGTTTGTGGTCCTCGTGGACCAGATCCGAAGATCTGGTCCTGGAGAGAAGGGGTCTGGGACCTCAGGGTCTCATCTCTACCTTTTGCAGATGATGTGGTTCTGTTGGAGTCTTCAGGTCCAGACGGTGTCGGTTCACAGCCAGGATGAGAGTCAGCCCCGCCAAGTCTGAGGAGCTGGTTCTGAACTAGCTTGGGAGGGGGTCTCTGCCTCTACCAAAGTTCTGGTATCTCAGTGGAGGAGATAACAGAGCTTCTTCTGAAGTACTGAGTACATTTATCTGGTCTGTGGTGGTGATGAAGGCTCTGAGCTAGAAGGTGACTTCATGAAGTTCAGCTGAAATCCTTCAGGTTCCAGCTTGATGGATCAGAACTCTGAGAACTGGGTTCTGACTGGTTTCACTCTCTGGTTTTTCCCTCTTTGATGATGGTGGTCGATAAGAGT